TTCCTTGGGCTCTTGTCGTGCTCGAACCTGCAGTCAGTCTCGACCATGCTGCCATTTCCCCGTCTTCGCATACTCCCAACAGGACCGATCAGCAGGCCCGCCTCCCCGGCGATTTGGGAGACGGGGTACGGTCCCTCTGCTGCCTCTCCCAGGAGATGCTCAGTCTCTTTGACTGCTCCTCACGGGCAAAGATGATCTCGGCTTTCCGTCCTTTCCGGACCTAACGGACCTTGAAGGACTTTGGTCGCTCTTCCTGGCGAGCGGGTCGTATCTCCGAACGACCCCAGGAGCTCCAGGATGTCGATCCCTCTCACGAGAGTGAGAGCCCGATCGGGATCTCTGCTCATGGAAGGTGTAGCGTGTTCTGGCGCTTCTGCCATCGTTCGACACAGTCCTGACAAGCTTTATAGAGCCACGGAAAAGATCTAACGGTCTCATCGCGATCCCACCTCTCGATGTCAGGCCGCGTACAGCGTAGACGACGAACGTTCTCAATGAACACAGCTAGTAGCACCCCATCATCGATCTTCCTCTTGATCCCGTAGATGAGATTGTCCCATGTGCTCAGATAACTCCGGAGCCTAGCCTCATCGTCAGAGTGACCTGTTTGCCGACTGGTCAGCTCAGCAATCTTGAAGGTCTGGTCGTCCTCGACTCCAGTCTGCAAGTCTGCAGATGGTTCAGCAAGAGCTTCAAGATCTGCCTTCCCTTGATGCCCTGAGGAGGGATCATATTTTGAGCGGCCTCCGTGAGACGATTCATCTTGTCCCTAACGGCCCTCGTCTTGATGCAATCCCTGATAGCACTCGTGAAGTTGGAATCCAACACCGGGTACTTACAAGGCCCACCTAGTGCATCATAGTCAAGCCTCTCAGTCTCTGAAATCCACGCTAACGCGTAGTCTGAATCAAAACTGAACGCATTCCTGACCCTCTCCTTTACCTCAGAAATCCATTCCCGAAGCTTATCAGCTGTCGGTTCAGGAGGCAACGTGATAGTGTTGCACTTGTGATGGTACCGATCCTTGCTATCAACAACAGTCGAGATGAGCGCCCCTATCGGGGTACAAGAAGTAATCCTACAGCTTTCACACAGCCTGGCAGGCAACGGGCAGAATACCTCGCACGCCTTCATTCCACATCCAATGCATGGAATTTTTGGGAAACCAATCTCAGGAATCCTACCACACTTGGTGCATTTGTCCCGCCCATCGTCTTTTTATTTCAAGGCTTCAGGAAGAAGACCGCCATCTCCCTGCCTACCGGCGCCATGAGCACTGTAGCCAAGGCTAAGACCTGGTCCGAGAGTACTGGCACTACCGATACTCGATGGATAACCAGCAACAACGTTGAGCTGGCTACCGCCAGCACCAACGCCTTGGTGACTAACGCCACCTCCGTAAGCAGGACCATAGAAACTAGAACCAGATTGGTTGTTCCCAGCTCCGTAAGAGTCTGCAACAGTGCCACTATACGCGGGCGCTCCTCCTCCACCAGGGTATCTTCCGAGAGGCGCCGCCCAGGCCCTGAGGGTGGGCGCGGAATTGAACCGTGACCACCACCTCCACTTCCATCATGACCTGATGGTCCCTCAGGACCGCCTCCTCCTCCAGGAGGGGCCACGGCCAGCGCGATCATGCGAACCTGCGACAAGCCCAGCACTTCGTCTTCAAGAGCGTGTAATTTCAATAGTTTCCATCATCGCCCTGACGCAACTGGCAAAACTTACGTCTGCAAGTAACACAGGTGAAACTCGCATCCGGGTGCCTGCGATCGTTCGGGTTGTCCTGAGCGCAAATGCTTGATAGATCAGGTCCATCGCCACCCGGCGCACTGCCAGTGGCTGGGTTCCTTCTGCCATCACTAGGACTTGGAACGTCACCTCGGGCCCTGTTTCCTTGGGTATCCCCTTGTCGGCGATTGGAGTTTCGAGGGGCACTACCGCTATCGCGGATTGGTCTCTCGTTTCTCGTCTCCCGACTCCTGACCTCAGGCTCCCTATCGGCAGCCCTTGGACTCCTGTTCCAACCTTCATCCCTATTTGGGGAAACTGAAATCGAACTATCTGCCCTAGCACAAGACCGTGGATTGTCCCTCACACGTCTCGGTGGAGAGTAAGACCTATCCTGCATCTGCAGAGCTCTTCTACTTCGGCTATCCTCTCTTTCCCTAACGGGAGAGATAGAACGTCTGTTCACATGGGAGTCAGCCTCAGCCCTACCAGGCACGCTCGGCAATCTCGAACCCCTGTCGACCTGGTTCTGATCGCCAACATTGCCTCTCCTACTGTCCCCAAAGACATGATCAGCTATGCTAATGCCTCCACCTGGTCGAATAGGCGGGATTACGATCCCCAGGGTTAGGAGTCGGAGACCTAATCCTGTGCCCTTGCCCAGCGAAAGCATTGTACCCGACGTTTGGTCTTCCCTGAGGTCCGCGAGGATTTTGCTGAGCAACCTGAATCATGTCAGCCGCGTCATCAACATGTCCCTCAATCTCAGCAAGTTGCCCGATAACTCGGTTATTCGTCTCATTCAAGACGCGGATATTCCCTTCGACAGTGTTGACCCTACGCATTGTCGCGTCAAGCATGTTACGATAGTAAACAAGCTCCCGCCTAACGATGGATTGAACCTGTTCCGCACTCGAAGGAAGATTGGTAAGCTGAGTCCTGATAGCTTGTACAGCCTGCTGGAGCCTTTGAGTATTCTCGTTGAACGCAGTAATCCGAGCGTTCACAGCCCCAACGTCCTCGAAGATGGTACCGTAATCCCGAGCTTGGCGATAGACCCGGCGAGTGAGATCCTGAACCCTCCTGTTATTCTCCTCAACTGCTGCGCGCCAATCCGGAGGGTCATGAGGGTCCCTAGGCCTATCGGCAAGGATGAAATTCCCTGTCGCCCCGCGATTCGGGCGTGAGAACAGGGAGAGGCGCACGATCAGCGAGAGTCCTGAATTCGTCCTGGAGATCGCCAATGGACTGCGAAGCCCACTTCGCATGCCGATCATGCTCACTTTGGAGTATGCCGACTCTAGTGGTTAACTCCCTGACATTCACATCAGTCCCGCTGCTCGCGGCCCTATCGGGCCCCGATACAGCCGGAGCACCAGAAGATGTGGTCGGCCTAACGGCCTTCTCTGTCGAAGAGAGTCGCCTCTCGAACTTCTCAATCTCAGCGTTGGTCTGATCCTCAAAGGCAGCATGACTTCTGAACATAGCATGATGCTTATCCTGGGCCTGATGAAGCTGACTTAAGCCACCCTCCATCTCCCTAACGGATTTCCGGACTTCGTCGGAGAGCGAATTGATCCTCTGATCCACAATCTCACTCTGCTCATCAACAGCATACCTGACGATCGCTCTGCTATCAGGACTGATTTCACCGGCAAACCGTTGAACTATCATTCGCATCCGATCAGCATCAGCCTGGGTCGCAATCTCGGTAGCCAAGCGGTCAACCGTATCCTTCATCTGCTGATTCTCATCATGCCATTCTCGACGCATGGAACTCACCTGACCATTCAACGACCTGATCTGGTTAGCAAAAGCGTTGAGAGTGTTGACAACGGAGCTAGAGGCCTCACCTCTCTCAAGCATCTCCTGAATGTGCAAATCAAAGACCTCCTTACTCCTGGCATCACCGGACTCCCCAGAGGAATGAGATCTAAGAGCCGGAGGGGTCGATATCTCGATCCCCTCAGGAACTCTTTCAAATCGCGCCCCCTTGGGGTCGGGAACAGGATCATCAGTGATCCTGAGCAGCGTGTTCGGACCCTTGCAGCTCCACGAGAGAGACTCCTGGGCCTAGCAGCAGCACAGCTCCTTGCACTTCTCTTCCTCATCACGACGATCCGCAAATGCGGCATAATCTTCATCATCATTGAACTCAAACTTGGCCGTTGAAACAGGATTGGGCCTATCGGCATCAGACTCCTGCTTCATGCTACTGCCCCAGCCTGCGGTTGATGTTAACAGGGCATCGTATCCGATGCCTGCAAACGTCCTCTCCTCGCGCTCATCAAACTGACCTGGATTTTGAGAACCGGTGGATCGACCCTCGCGGCCTGTCCCCGAGCTCATCCGAGGCCTGCGATTCACCTGGAACAAGAGACCTTGGGGATCGGGTGGGCATGGCCTCCGGGTCGTCCGAATGAGGGTGGGCCATGTTCATCGCCATGCTGATGAAGTCCAAATGTCCGTGTCTGAAACCTGATTCGGAGCCGCCCCTATCGGGGCGAGCTCTTTGTCCTTGCTCATCATCGGTAGCCTGACGGAAAATGCGATCGTCTCCATCGTCAGTGTACCTGCCACGGCTTCTGGGTGTGTCCCTATCGGGATCATCACTCCTACGATCCTGACCTGCCCTCGAAAAATTTCTCGAAGTTATAGTCCGGCAAGTCCTCACCTGATCGGAGACCACCTAGGATAGCCTCCTCATCCACGACACTCCTATGAGAGCGTGGGGTTGACGTCATTGAGCTTGTAGTTGATGGTCTCAAGCGCGTAGGAAAGTCCTACGGCTGATAACCTGTGATTCGGGCACGAGCCTGTGCCCAGGCAATGGGTAAGTTGGGGTAAACAAGCCACAAAAGAAAGGTTCCCCAAAAGCAAACCAATCCCCGGTCCCAAAGATCAGGGTTTCCCACACACCAGAGAGCAACAACCAAAAGAGAAAAGGGTTAACCCGCAACCTTGATCGACGACAGGCCGCACGAATGGTCCCTACCAACCTGGCGGCGGCCCAAGGTCTCTTTCTCCCCCGAGATGCCGTCGGTCGACGCAGGGGTTCGGCGACGCCCATCCGAGGCGCGACGGAACCCATAAAACTTGAGCCAAACATCACAGGTCAGTCACTACCGCGACGTCCCTGATGATGGAATGAACCATGGCTAATCACACAATGCTTCAAGTTCAGTCTCAACCATAGGCGGGATGTCTGTTACGAATACAGCAGGGAACATGGCACGAAAATAAGTGGCCTTCAATCACAACCAAGTGTCTGAAAAGCCGTCATTGGTCACCACACAAGATAATCTTGGCACCCCATCACAAAACTCGATGCCAGCTTTCACCCACGTGTTCTCATCGATCAGGATCATTGCCTCAAGTGCTGGAGAGCCCTCTATGACTCCTGCAGAAGTCTGTCCGAAAGCTTCGCAGGACCCAAATGAGCATTCACATACTCCAAACACAGCCAACTTCTTTACAATGTCGCGCTTGAAAACAGCCAGTCGGACTTCGCACTCAGCATGTTGCCCACATCTCAGTATCGCTTGACTTGTGCACTTCACGTTACCACGACATCACCGCGTGCGAGGCACACACCGCAATTCCAAGCGCAAGTAAGTGCCACTCGACAAAACTCCCACTCAACGCAAAACAACGCAACAAACATTTGCAAGTTTGACACATTCTGCGCAGAAGGAACATGGAATGCAGCAATGTGACATATGAACAAGCATGAGCATGAGTCATGCTGTGCACATCAAGCCAGGTCTTGCAAAATGCAGTTCACTGGTGCACAGCCCGCATTGAAGCTATGCCTTCACGCTTGCCCGATTGTTGCTCTCTTCAAGCCTGCATCTTCTCTTTGTCCTGACTGCTGCCGTGGTGCTCCAGCTTGATCGAATTGCGCGCGTGGCTTCAGGGTAAAGGCAGTGGACAGTGTCACCTCCATATCCGTCCGCACTGGGCGCACCAGGACCTTGCCAGCCCGCACTCTTGAATCGCGGCTACAGTGGCTGAAAACACATTCAGCAAATGGCATCGCATCCACAAATGAAATGTAAAGCCTCGTGACCCTTGATGAATGCATGCTTGATTTCCAAGCGGGCTGGGGCAAGCGAGAAACTCTCAGGAAACGTGCAGTAGTTGTTCCTTCAAGTATCACATCCGAGATGTCCCAATTGCAGTAATTGGCTGTTGGTACAATCGCGAGAAGCAAACAGCTTTACTCACAACAATTATCCCTAAGCCTCTGATCTTCATCTGTGCTGGCCCACGAAGTATGGTTCTCAGCAACTCAAGTTTGCTCAAGCACCCCGATCCACGAAGAAAAAAAGACTGTAAGCAACGATCAGGGCGATTTCTTGCCTTCGAAGCAAATGATAATCTTGTGGACCCTTTTTCTTCTTGACTCCTTGGACTTTGCCCATGCGCGCCGATCCGCCTGCCCGTCATGCTTCACCAGCAGTGGTTTGTAAAAAGTTTTGCCTGAGCTGCACACAACTAGGTAGCGGGCACACAGCACCATGTGGCAGCTACCAGTACAGCCAAGGAATGAATGATGCAGCTCGATATGACTCGATGCCGCTTTCATGTGGCCTGACAACACGGCAGCATGCATTGGAATCCGTTCATGAGTTCATGCCGAGGCTCTCCAAAAGTCCCGCTGTGGCATGGGCCGTACTCGCAGCTTGCCATCGGCCCTGTCAATGGCATCCGGGGCATCAGGCTCCCAGCATAGCGCTTCGAAGCCCACAGGCTCCATGGCTCACGTGGCTCGTGTCAGGCGGGAGCGCGCCCCCGCAACTCTTTTGCTGTCTGAGCGACGGCCGGGAGACTCCTTCTGCCACTCTTGTCGAGGCTCATGGTCATTACCAATAGGAACCTTGAACCTTTACCATGCCTGTCGAACTGAGTCCATGATCATCCCTGCCAACCCGCAACATGGCGGGAACTTTGGCCATGTTCCACAAAGTCAAGGTTGTCCACAAAGCTAAAAATGTCGCATCTACTTTCCAGCAAGGGCGGCGTGATCTGTCGAAGGCAACTGCTTGCTATCCTGTGTGAAAGTACATAATGGAGGCTGTGCCACCTAAGTGCCGTCTATGAAGCAGAACTTGGACAAGACTGAGAAAAGGGACTCAGCTATAAATCAAAGGCACTCGACCAACGCTGGTGTCATGTCAAGATTGCGTTTGTCATGATGCTACAAATTTATGGGGTCCTTCTGTTCTCGTCACTCGGTTCTCGCCTCTTCGAGAGTGAACTTGTCGAACTTGTCTGAGCTGTCGCAAACACCTCAAGTCTACAAAAGTGTGATATTTGTCAAGTTTTATGTGCAGCAATGTGTTTCGCACTAAGCCTGGACTACAGGAAGCATCCTCCTTTCTTATAAACGTAATTGCTCCTTGCCAAAGCGGTTACAACAAGCGAAGTATGTGAATATACATATATACATAGACATATATACTTGTATACTTACATACTTACATACTTATATACATATATACATATATACATATATACATATATACATATATACATATATACATATATACATATATACATATATACATATATATATATATACATACAGATAGTTTCAAGGAAGCCCATGATTAATGAAAGCAGCAAATGGCGAAAGAAATGGCTGTCCAAGGGGCCGCTATGGCAAAGTCTCTCTTTGCAGGTGTGCATCTGTCAGACAATCAATCATTGCAACCACAAAATGTTTGAAGGCCCCTGTGGCGCCCTGTGGCACCCTGTGGCGCCCTGCCGCTGCCCAACTTGGTATAGGCCGCACGGTGTGGAGAAGCCGCTGTGACCAACTGCACCATGTCACCAATGCCTGCGTAGCAGGATGGAACATTTGTGACCAAGTAACTCATGCGCAGGGGTTGGCTTTGCCTGCTGGACATGAACGAGGGCCGAAGCTGCTTGAGCTAGTTGAAGCATTGGCTACTGTGCTTTACGGGCCGGGGCATAGGAAATGAGGGAATGACTGAAACATTGTGGCTTATTTTGAGGGGGTCCCGAAACGCCAAAGGTTGATGGTTTCCCCATTCTGTCACTGATCGCTGTGATTCTGCGTGGTCCCGCAAGTGAGTGTTTTGATGCGCAAGTCAGCTGGCTCAAACTGAGGCCATCTAAAACAGACTGCATCTACTTGGAGCCAGAGTAGCTCTTCAAGGGCTTCTATAAGCGTATGCCTTCAATGTTTGTATACATATATGTATGTATTATGTGGCTCTTGCAGCTGACAATGCCACAAAAAAACAAATGTCGGAAAAAAGGAAGAAGAAAACACTTTGTCGGTTTCACAATAGGCAAACAACATCTCAAAGGCGGTCCCTTGACAAATTGTCACGTGTATGTGGATGGATGTGTCGATAATGTGTATACTATGAATATGTATATACTTATACATATATATAGAATATATAATATATATTTGCTCACCACCCCCTGCACGACTCGCCTTGTTGGTTGCAAGAAAGGATCTCATCTGTCACTTGCGCCTTCCCTACATCACATCTGCCAGGCATCTGCTGCGGCATCTATCTGCTTCGCCTTCCTGCTTTTCAAGCAGCTTTCTTTGGAATCACAAATGAGCAGCCTTTCAAGAAGCTTGATGCGGAGTTTTTTTAGGAATCTCATAAGTAGCTTTATAAGGAGCCTTGCAAGAAGCCTTGTCAGCAGCCTTATCAGGCGCTTTGCAATGGAACATCATGCGCATTGGAAATGGCATTACAACTTACAACTATCTTATTAAAACCGCATTTGCGGACGTGATTTCTTATTTACATTCCCTGGTTGAATGCTGCGTATCATGGTTGTTTTTGAAAAACATATTTGGACAGGATTTGTTCTCACTCAAAATAGAAACTATGCCAGCATCAGCATCATGCCCTGATTACAGGCTATCGCAATCAACCTTGTAGAAGGCCCTATGAGGAGCCTTGAGAAGGAGCTTCATTAAGGAGCTTCACAAAGGGCATCATAAGCAGCTTTACAAGGAGCCTCGCAATGAGCCTTATAATCAGCCTTGAAAGGGGCTCGTTGAGGAGCTTTGCTTTGAGCTTCATAAGGAGCCTTTTAAGGACCTTTACCATTAGCCGTGAAAGGAGCCAAAGAAAATAAGTTGGTTTAAGGAAGAATCTTTGGCTTCTGCCCCAAGATGTTGTTTCTCGAGCGCGGCTTCTTCAGCAAAGGCCCAAAAAACTGTGTTTTTGTTGAGCGGTTGGTGTAAAAACCACAAAATAACAGAGCGTGTTTTTGTTGTTGGTGCTACAGCAGAACAACATGGACAAAAAAACCAACACTATGCGAGAGAACCACCAAACAAAAAGCAAACTCTGGGGAGACTCGTTGGTTTCAACCAAGTTTTTGTTTGGTGTTCTCAAAGTTTCTTTTTGATTTGGAACCAGAAAAACAAAGAATCAAAGAATGCAAGATTTTTTGGCAGAAGTTTGGTGGCTGTGAAAATATTGGATTCTTTGTTGTTGCAAAGGAGTCTTGGCTTTTTAGGCTTTCCCCTGAAAATATGGTTCTTTTGGCTGGAAAACCAAAAACATGTAGGAAATCTTTTGAAACCCAACGAAAACCGGAGGAATCTTGGACTCTTGCCTTTTTCCTCAGGGAATTCGGGTTCTTCGGATGAAAAACTCTAAAAAAAACCAAAGGAATTCTTCGCTTGGGGTTCTCCCGAGGAAAAGCCTGCTTCTGTTGATCCCTGTAATTGGGGAGCGGCTGGTTCGCTGCCGTGAAACTGTCATCATCTTTCGAGCGGTTTGAGCGGGGGAAGGCGGGGTGGAAGGGGGGAATAATGAGGTTCGCTAGAGACAGCTTCGAATGTCCTGCTTTGCGCGTGCTCAATCTTTGCTTGGTCCTTTACTCTGCTTGTTCCTCCCAACTTTGATCCGCGGCTGGCAGGCTTTCTCTCTGTTTCGGTGGCGTATCTGCAGGATCTTCATCGCGTAGCTTGGCTCTCACGTGCTGACCGTTTAGTTCAGTTTGTTCAGGGTGTTGCTTTGATTGAAGATCCCTTCTCCCTTCGCTTCTCTGCCCCAGCAGGTTCCGTCCCTCTTATGTGCTGGCACATCAACTTGCATCTCGCTCCCGCAGGTTCCTTTTCCTTTCGGCCGCTGAGCGCACACTTTCTCTGCGATGCCTGCAACCTCCCTGCAACACGCCGGCATGTGGCCTCAATGTGGCCACCGAATGCACAAAGTGCTGCGGCAATGACTGGATGGGCGTTTCGGATACAACCTGACTCTGCTTCAAGGCCATGTTGGAACACACACACACACACACACAAAAAAAAAAAACAAAAAAACAAAAACAAAAAACACTTTGAAAATCGCCCACCCCGGACACGTGAAGAAAGATTGAAAGCGCAATCCAATTGCAATTGCGACAGACATGACTTTCAGAATTGCTGAAACCCTCCAAAAACGTCGATGTGTCTTGGCTTTTCAGTGGTTGACGGTTTTTGTTCCAAAAACCAAAAAAATGAATGTTGTTGTTCACGCTTTCATTGGTTTTGTGGTCCCCCCAAAACTTTTTGAAAGAAGGTAGATGCAGGGGGTTGCAACCTCTTCGCGACTAGCATTCAAACTGCAAATACTCAACTCACACTTATGGACGCTGAATCGTCCTAGGCTTACAACTGTTCAGCATTCAGCAAAGAGTTGTCATTAGCAAAAGCACTGGTGAGGTTGGAGGCTCATGATGACCACTTTAATCAAGAAAGACATCAGCGGAAAATGCACTTTCCAAGCACTGTTGATGCTGAGGCCTATGGACCAGAGACATGAAGCTTGCAAGGTGCAAGGATGGGCATGCTGACAGGGCTGCTGTGGATGCCGGGGATGCCGGGCTTGCAAATGATGCGGGGACATATGATGCCTGTCATGCCAGTAATATTGGGGATGTTGGGCATGGTGGTGATGTTGAGCATGGTGGTGATGTTGGAGATGGTTGGAGATGGTTGGCGATGTTGGGGATGTTGGAGATGTTGGCGATGTTGGAGATGGATGGCGATGTTGGTGATGTTGGAGATGTTAGCGATGTTGGCGATGTTGGAGATGGTTGGCGATGTGATGTTGGTGATGTTGGGGGATGTTGGGGGATGTTGGGGGATGTTGGGGGATGTTGGGGGATGTTGGAGATGCTAGCGATGTTGGCGATGTTGGAGATGGTTGGCAATGTTGGGGATGTTGGGGATGCTGGGGATGTTGGTGATGTTGGGGATGTTGGGGATGTTGGGGATGTTGGGGATGTTGGGGATTTGGGGATTTGGGGATGCGCGGGATGGGAGCATGGAGACCCCTGTAGATTTGGTTTCACTTTAGTGCTTGTCGTTCGATGCCCTTGCACGGCCAGACACACGCATGTATTCAGAAGCGACCGCACACGTGCAAGGTGCGGCAGGCAATTTCTTGCGCTTAAGCTCCTGATAGCTTTTTATTGACTAAAGTGGTCGACACCTCCTAAAAGAAAGTGCAAACCGAACCTTCAACCCATCCTAGGCCATCTCCGGAGCAACCCCAGCCACCAACGCAACAACCACGCAACCCCTCTATACCAGCTCGGCTTGAATGAGCTTGGTTTGGACTTCATTTCTAGCTCAAGTGAGTTTAGTGTGGTTTAGAATTATCTTTTTCAAGGGGGGTAGTGTTGGTATTTTGTGAGTTTGGCGCTGGTTTAGGCAGGGTTAAGGAAAGCCAGGCATCTGTAGCCAACAATAAAGCAAAGTCCGGTGAA